TTTCAGTTGAATTCAGAGTGTCTAGCAAATACGTGAGTTTCCTACCATCTCCTAATACAATTGAAGCTCAAAACCTGAACATCGGAATAAACGTATTGTCAGCGACATAGTTATACTATTACAATAATTATTTGTAGATGCAGTGAATCCTCATGTTGGGAAAGGAGAGTGCCAAATACTGAGAGAAGAATGGCAATCAGCATGTTTTAATCTTTACACCAGGAAGTCAGGATGAACTCTTCCGTAGCAAAATAACTGCAAATTATAAAGGCAGACCAGGGTTGAAACTGGTATATTTAAACCAGGTTTTGCTGGTGGCCGACCATGATTTAAATCAGACAGACTGCCTGCTTTGCACATTTTAAATACTAGGCTGAGCTCTAAAGGTAGGATTTTCAGAAAGGGATGATTTAGGAGCACAAACGCTACTCAGGCCAACAGTAAGCGCATGGACCTGTGATGAGACAGCCCTCCTCCGCAGACAGGGGTATCTTGATTCCCTGCCCGTCCGCCGGCTATTGTGGAAATAGTTAATGAACTTTGGCCTGTTTAATCACCAGGTCAGATCTCTGTGCATGCTGTTGTCAGTGAAGTTGTGTTCTTCAGTCTGTCTCAGTTGCTGAGCTTGCACGTGGTTTTGCTCTAGTGCCGATCTCATATTTATTATAAAAAGTTGCAGTACAGGTAGAGCTGTTGCTGTACAGTTGAGACAGAAGAAATTGTCCTGGGTTATCTCCTGGGCATCAGTGCTCGGTTAAGTATTTGCCGTTGTCCTGAAGTTTGGGTTTGAAGATCTGCACAGATCACGTGTGTGCTTTCTAGCAGTTCTATGGACATTCTCAGCCCACGTCCTTGCTTTCACCATATGGTGTCCACCGAGATAAAGTTAGCTCCTGGTAAGAGGACTTAGACCTATGTCTTCATTGCTTGGTAGGTCTGGAATTTGCCCTGTAGGTGGTTCTTGTTCTGTGTACAGGCACACTGTATATACTCCATTAACTCACCAGGAGGCTGTAAGGAGCAGTGAGGACAGTTCAGCGGTGGGACAGGCTGTGTACTGGTTAGAGTATGTCCTGTGTGGACGTTTGTGAGGGCATTTGTTTTTCTGTAAGTGGGACAGTGAGACCAGGGGATGGAAGGGCTTTTGCCTGTCTGAAGTCCTCATTCTGTGAAGCGGGAAGTAGGGTAATGAGGTGGGAATGTTAAATAGTGAAGAGCTGAAATGAGGTTCACACTGTAGATTAACCTGGCGACCCTCTTTGGTTGTTGGCATGAGTAGGGCTTTCAGTGAGCTGGATGTGGTGTGATCCTTTTGTTGTTTTCATTCCCTCCATGGCACTTCTTAAGAAGCAATAAACTAGTTCTGAATGTACTTTGTAATAAAACCAGTTGGTTGTAGGCTCAAAGATGAGGTACAAACACACGATGTCATCGTTGTCTTTGAATGAGTAGAGCCGAATAATTGCTCACTTTGCTCCCCAGTCCCTGCAGTGAGAGAGAGCATCTTCTAATTGAGTCAGAGAGAAGTAGAGTCTGATATCTTAGATGAGTATTCGGGGGAGACCGCGAAGAGAAGAGGAATGCAGCCACTGAATTGTGGTAGAACAAAAAAAGGAAGCTCTGTCGCACAACAAAGCTTGACTTCTCAGCGCTTCATTTTCCAGAACTCTTGGGGTTTGTTTTCTTTTTCTTGAAGTGCTGAATATTCTCAGTGCCGTGTGAAGTCAGCAGGAGCTGTGGGGGCTCAGCGTCTCTGAAAGCCAGGCCCAATTTTATGGATGACATTGACATTTCTATTCCTCCATTAGTGCAAAACCAGTGTTTTACATCCCTAGTGTTTCTTAACCTCTGGGTGGGTTCTGTAGAAAGTAATTTGATGCTAGAATCAAATTGCACTTTTGTTTGCTTGTCAGTTACACAATCAAAGTTTATAAATATTTTTGACTGTCCTCTGGTTCTGCCTCTGACACATAAAACTCGGTTTGATTTGGGGTAGCATTCTTGCTCCCTGTAGTTTACTGGCATTTTCCGATACACTTGTCTTCCTATCCCGCTCGCCCAGTGATTCTGATCATTAGGTTAGTATCAACCGCCACTCTGCTCCGCGTTCTATGGCTGCTTATCCTAGTAGCAGGTTACGCTCTTATGTGGAGTCTCCGTGCTACAACTTGTTGAGGTATTGTCAAAATGCCCCGCTTTCGTGGCCTGTAGTGTACGGTTAAAAAAAACACATGCTCACTGAGAATTGCCTGATCGAGCGCCTTGATTCTTCACCACAACCTGACATTTTCAAGGAAATTCATGACGGTGTGACGTTGTAAAAGATCTCCGTCGTGTTAGGCCACTCATCCATGTCTTTGCATTGCATGTTGGAATCTCTGGGACTACTTTATAAGCATGTGTTGTAGGATGTGGTTTACGTTTGAATGGAGGCCATTAGTGCTCTGTCTGCCCGGTTTATAAAAAAACCCAAACTTGTGTGCTGTACATCAGCTACTGGTTCACTAAAACTCACTACAGGCCTTAAAATATAGTGAATATGCTAAAACATCATAGAAATGCTTGTAAGAGTTGGGAGAAAATGAGTGCTCCTTGCAGTGTCTGTGGAAATTTTGAGTGTGACGCTCACATTCGGATTGGAATTAAGCAGGAAGAGCTCTGCTGTGCCAGGGACCTTCCTCAGTCAAGCCAAACAAACCCAAAGAAGTGTTAATTTTGGGAGTAAAACAGTAAGATAATTTACTATCAGAAAAAATCTTACAATGGAGTTCCAGCTTGTTTCTGCTTTACCTTGCGACTAATACGTTGCTGTGAATTCACATGGAACACCACCAGATAGCAGTGTGATCCCTGTTTCCATTATGGTCTGGGTTTTTTTCACTCTTAGGCTAATTGCCCTTTGAATCTAGTGGTGAAAGAGTTTTATTTCGTCAGAGAAGCCCCAGGGTAGCTGCTCACCTCCGCACTGCTCAAGATGCCGCCTCACCGTAAGGGAAGTTCCTGGTGTGGTGGATGTGGTATACCCGTTGTGTATTTTGGGTGGTTTTCCTACAGCTCTAGGATGAACAGAGCAGCCATTTGTTTATTACTTTGAACTTGAGTCATACTGAATGATGTAATAGCTAACTCTAGAAGCAGAGTGTGTCACTCTGCTGTCACTAACCGTTCTCATACGCTGCTGTGTCAGAAGCCTGCCAAAAACCCAAAAGCAGCGATGGTAAAGTGAAGAACTTTGATATTTTCCTTAAACTGGCACAAAGATGAATGATGTAGTGAGGGAAATGCAGATATTTGATAAATTTCTTACTGTGCCCCTGCAGCTAAGGAGCATATGTGGTCCCGTCCCAAACCCCAGATTTGTGTTTAGCGTCAGCAGTGCTGGGATACTCCGTGACACAGCTGATGGGGCGTCACGTCCTAGTGCCAAAGACAGCTGACACTGTCACAGCAGTTCATTTTCCATGTGAAAAATTGTGTGGTACCACTCCACTCACACTTCGCACTGAGGAGATCTATTCGAGAATGACGGGAAGACAGGTTGGATTGGGCTGAGAAGGTATTGCACATGCACTGGGATAAAAAGTGTGCTGGAGGCTGGAGAACCGCGTGCTCATCTGTCCCAACAGTGCTAACATTACATGTACAACAATAACTCTGTGCCTTCTGCGTATATGGGATTATGTTTTTAATAATACTGAATACTTTCTGTGGGTTTTTTTGCCCTCCATTGGTGTGCAGAATGGAAGGTATTTGCTTAATGAGCAAGCTCTTACTGCTCAGTGCTGAGTCCTCAGGCTTTATTTACTCCTCCAACTCCCCTGTGGGGGTGGAGTTTCTTAATTTCACTTTATGGGTTTTCCTCTGATCTCATTGGTCTAAATCAGTGTCTTTCAGTAGTATTGAAGCTACTTTTGCAACATGAGCTGAGGCTATTTTTAGTATCTCTGTCTGTTCTCCTCCCCTTAAAATAGTTGCTGAAGTCAAAAGTATCCACTTGCTTTGCCAAACCCAAAGCCTGAGATGGATTTTTCAGTGCTTGGCATTGTGTAACACTGTACTCAAGCAGAGCTGTGTTTGAATTCAGTTGTTCTTTTGAGGAGTTAGCATTTTTGCAAGTATCTCTCTGAGATTGCAGGATGGGTGCCTGGAAAAGTTAGGGCATAGTAACCATTTCTGAAAAGGTTGATTCAAGGGATGGTTTTTGGAGGCGGTATGTGCCCCGTGCTGGGGACTTGTCACTGTGTGTAACGGGGCCGAGGTCCAGTCTCTCTGCCTGCTTGTACACGAGAGTCGCCTCACACGTCTGCTCCGAGTCCTCGACCACTGTACACATACGCCCCTAAATTTCCGATGCCGTGGCTACAGAGCTCCCCAATTATTCCCAGTCCCAGGTCTCTCCTCTGATTCTTCCAGAAATCTGTTCTTTTCCTCAGGCTCTCCTTGCTTGCCTTCAGAAATCAGCGTGGAAGTGTTTAAGTGGGTAAGAAAACAGAGAGAAGAAGTGATAACATGAAAACAAACAACTGATTTGTGCAAGAATTAGGACAAGGAGTAATACCGGACGGGTTGGTCAGTGATCATCTGCTAGGTGTGGTAGAGTGAGGCTTTGCTTCGTCTTTTTCCTGGAGCTGTGCGCAGTGCCGAACGCACGTGGCAATTGCTCAAGGCAGAGGCAATGTACTGTAGAATTAGGTCGAAACTTTCTTACATCTCCTATTGCTGGTGCTTGTATTGTTTGGTCTTCTGAATTTGTCATAAAACCAGATTTTTCTCGTCTACTCTTTGCTTTCATTTGCAATTTTATTAACCTGTAGGTGTTTGCAAATAGGTTTCACATACCCAGAAATGAAAGAGAAAGCAATTTTTTCCTTTACTGACCGTGCCCTCTCCTTTTAGTCTCACAGACTCCTGAACTCTGGTTGTGCCTACAGCTCATTGAGCAGCAAGATTTAGTCCCTCTTGCAGTAACTTTGTCTTTTCCAGGATCTTAACTCGCCAAGATGCCCATCAGTGTTGATGATGTGATGCAACTCTTCTGCCATCTCTCTCAGGAGAAGGGGATGAAAGCTGCTGTCAAACACTCTGGTCGAGGAGCACTGCTGGCAGGTGCAACAGCTTTTATTGGGGGTCTCATGGGGGGTCCCCCTGGAATCGCCATAGGTAAGTGTGTTTTGTTTTAGGAACAAGAAGTGCGGTTAACTCCCTGAGTGAAGAAACTAGGAAATCTGTCTAGTAGGCATGGTTTGAAGGGGTGTGTAGCTCTGACATTTCATGTATCTGGGCTTTAAGGAGATGACATTCTCTGTGTCAGCTGTTTAGACACGAGGTGTGCATCAGGCAGGCGTGTGTCGGTGTCTCCTTCTTGGGTGACCGACTCCTGCGCTGCGAACGCGAAGCTGCTCAGAGGTCTGAGGCTGAGACAGTGGCGCCTTTGAAACCCTTGGAACAAGCTGTTAACCGACTGTTTGCGTTCAGTGGGTAGAGCTGTGGTTCCCGTCTGCTGAGGTACGCCAGTGTCCCAGGTGTGGGACAAACCAGAGAGAACACTGCCATCCCCTGAGCTCCTCAGCGTGGGCTCTGCTCCAGCGCCGTGGTGGGGGAGCGGAGAGGAGAGGGTGAGGCAGGGGCACTGGAGCACAAGAGACGATGGAGGCAGTTGGGGGGGTGTTGGTACCTGGTGGCACAGAAGGAAGAAAGTTGGGGTGTTGAACGAGGGTGAGTAAGTGTTCTTAGTCAGCCTCACCAAGGGACAGGATCATCTTCCTAATGATCTTGTTAAAATGATGGTTGTTTCTGTATTTTAAAAGTTCCTGCTATCCACTTCTTGGTGAACTTGGTTTTTTCCTCTGGCATTCATTATTCTCTATTACTTCGCTTTTTTTGCCTTGTATGGAAATTGACAGGAGTAATTTCTGGAAGGCCAGAGTCTAATAGAAGTCTTGGCTTTGTATCGCTTGAATTGAGAGTTGTGGAGTTTGAAAGCTGCCTTGTCACTGAAGTCATGTGGGCGTTGGTCCTTAACTGCCCCTTACTCCAGCGAGCAGTTCTGGGAATTCCATGGGTTTACTGGATAGTGGAGTGAATTGCAGCATGCCTGCATGAGGATTAGCAAGGTTGAGTTACAAAAAATAATCAAATAATATGTGAGGAGTGAGAACAGAAAATGCAAAAGGAAGCAGTGGCCTGTTACAAGTACAGAGCTTAATTAATAGCCAAAAATAATATATTGACAAATGTATGACCAAAGTTATCAGGAACAAAGAAGTTAAATTAAGCTGTTGTAAGAAATTTGTAAGCTGTAAATCAAAAGTGTAAGTGGCCTCATTCTGGAACAAGATGGTGAGAAACACCGAAGTCGCTATTGGATGTGTTGCTCATTTTGTTGAAGTGTTTGTTTAAGCTTTCATAACGTCTCTCAGTCAGGCTCAGTCTTCTTCAACCGCTGAGGGAGGCGCTGGAACAAGTGCAGTTATTGCTGTACACCAGAAGCATACACTCATAAGTGGATATACTAAGTGTAGCAAAAGGAGATCCCCGATTACAGTGCCACGAAATCCAAAGACCCTCATTTAACTTTTAAAATTCCAAAGGTAAACCACCCTGGGTCTTTGGTGGGTTTTAGGACCGTTACAGGGACACTTGCAGTCAAGTGCACTTTCACTTACACCGACAGCCTGGGTAGGTGTGGGACTGGGTAACAGGGATTGTCCTTGCTACTGCCTTCCCCCGGCGTTAGAGGATGAATTACCTTCCCTCTCTAGTCGTACCTGGAGAAACTTCCAGCGTATCGTGCTTTCTAAGGACGGCTTGCTCTGACAAGAATGGATTGTGGGTGTGTTGCCTGGGGCAAAGCGTGTGATCACGTAACAAATCTTGTCTCGATAGACGAGGAGCTTAGACGTCAATACTTCCAGTGGCTTTTGCATTAAGTGCCCCTAAATCAGATATTGATGTTCGCATAAAAGTTCCTTGAAGACCAATTCAGCCATCATAGGCTTTCAAGTATTTCTGTAGCATCATGGGAAATTTGCCAACTGAGTAAAATGTGCAAATTAAGGAATTTTTGTCTAATGGAAAACTGCATCCGTGTGAGTGCATAAATGACTCTTTGGGAGCAGCCACTGGGGGGGAATTGTGGAGGCAGGGTCGCTTCTGACACCCTCCACTGGGAGGGTTCTCCTTCCTCCCACCAGGATGTCTGTGTCTCCGGGCAGCAGCGTCAGCTGTGTGAATTCCTCTTGGAAAGCACTCTGTTTGACCTTAGACTGGTAACTCTGGGCACGAGAGCACCCGTGTAGGAGCGTAAGGCTGGTGTCTTCATGACCTGGAACCGCTCCACTTAGCAGAGCGTTTCTTGGCTGTCCGGGGTGTTGATTTGGTAGATGAAAGCGTGGATGTGTCTAATGCCAGAAGCTGATGGGTTTGGTCTCTCTGAGCACCTTCTGGGGGTGGACTTCATGGCAGTAGGAGGCTGCAGTGTGCAGCAGAAAGCTTGATGTCCTGGGAATGTCTCGTAAGAGATGGTGTTGGTACGCCAGTAAGGAGTTGTTGGTCAGGTTTTACCCTGGGCATGGTTTCACTCAGTAGTAGAGCTTATCCTAAACAGACCAGGAGTGTTACTTGTTTCTGATTTCTAGCTTGAAGCTATTAGCTTTGATTGTGTTAAGACTTTGTGGTTGCTGTGGATGTAAAAAGCTTTTAAAATCCTTCTCGGTGCTTTGAACGTGGCGTGTAAACCTCGTTAAAGTAGGCACATACACAGCTCTGCGCTGATTTCTAACAAAGGTGGGAGCATTGTGGATAGAATTCCAGGTTTCAGCATTAACTGGTGAAGAGTAACAGCTCACTCTCTTTTCTAGGAGGAGCATTTGGTGGATTGCTTGGTGCCTGGATGACTACCGGACAGTTCAGGCCGGTCCCTCAGATTTTATTGGAGTTGCCTCCTGCTGAGCAGCAGAAGCTGTATGATGAAGCCGTTGTTATTCTCAGGCGCTTAGACTGGACTGATGTTGCTCAGCTGACTGCTCTTGTCATGGGGAATGCTGGTCTCCAGCAGAAGTTGATAGCAGTGCTGGTAAATTACCTCTCCAAAGAGCTAAGAGCAGAGATACAGTACGGGGAATAAACCATTTCCAGAGCAGGCTTTTTACAGTGCAATGAGTTTTACAAGTGACAAGTATGATTCTTCAATGTAGCAATTATTAGTTATTGTTACTAATTACGAATGTAGGCAGATCCAAGTATTATTTTGGGGGTTTGGGGTTGGGCTTTTTGTTTTGTTTTGTAAGGATAGCATTAGATCACTACATTACTCTGACACTGACTTGCTATGTAATTTTGAATCTCTGCACTAGTAATGAATTCAAAATCACTTAAGGGAATTGTGCTTCTCTTACACTAATGCGTAACTGGTTAAAATTCTCAAAGTCATTGTGTTTTGTGTAGGAGACTTAATCCTGTTTGTGTAAGTGCTTTAATTTTTTTCTGTGAATGACATATAGGTGCCAAAGTAGCCGGGGCACTTTGAAGAATTTTACCTACTCTCTTGTTTCAGTCCTGCAAAAGAAAGTTGTATCACATCATTTTACTGTGAACTCAAAGATCTCAATCTTTATTTAATATGTTGCTTTTTTATTGTAATTCTTGGGTTATGTATTCTTTCTGTAAAAAGTGAAGCCAATGCAAAAATAAGATTTAAAGCAACAGGTAGACAAACTGCACAATTAGTAGTTCCTGGTGTCCTAGAATGGGAAGGCATCTCATGAATACTGTTTTTAAAAAATTAAAAACTGGAGAGCTAGGATTGGGGTTGTCATTTCAGCATTGGTTTCTTGACTGAATCTGAACATCTGGTCCTCTGTTTTCATTAAAATATTCGTAAGAAGCATCATAGTGGCCTGTGTTTTGCTTTAACGTAAATGGACTCTAAGAACCGGGTACTGAAATTTGCGGAAGAGGCAGCCTTGTACCGGGCAGCCAGCGGTTGGCAGCAGCAGTAGTGCTGAGCTCCAAATGCACTGTTCCTGAAAATCCCAGCTGGTTCTTCACCCTTTGCTTCAAGGCGCTGGTAAGACAAGTTTGTAAGTAGAGAAATGTGCCGGTGCGCCTTCTTTCGTATGTGAAAACAAGTGAAACTGCTCCGATAATTTCATTTTTCCCCTAAAATAAAGATTCACCTCTGTGTGTCTGGTGAGGTTTCTAGAAGTTGAGTTTCAAATGGCAAAACTTTAAACTCAGAAGTTGCTATTGTATCCATTTGATTAATTTAGTTCTGCAGGTACAACTTGCCATTAACAGATTGAGTGTGCTTTCCTGACCGGAGTGCAGGGCAGTGATTGTTCTTCTCCTCGTGTGAAAACACCTATCAGGGACGTGACAGGGGATGGTGAGTGGGCGCTTATTACCCTGCCAGAATTTCATAATGCCAAGCCAGAAATGTGTGTTCAGTTTCACTGACAGATTACACACACTGCAATTGGCTTTGTAAGACTTTACATACTCCATATATCCATTTTAAAATACCATTTTTATAAATGCAGTTACTTTTCTTCGCAATTTTCAGGCTATTTCACAAATTAAATTCACTCTTTCTAAAATAACACACTGCTAACAACAGCAAATGATTGAATGATACAGTAGGATGGGGCCTGCCATCCTATAATCAGCTGTTCAAACCCAGACGTGGCAGAAGTTGACATCTGATTGTAAAGCAGGCCATAGGAAAGATGGGGGTTTCAATTAATCTATAATACTATGCAGTATTTAAACAGATCATGAGCAGATTTCAGAGTGGTTTCAGACATCAATATCACAACTCCCATTTTCAGGTATTCATCAGTTTGACCCAAACTTAGGGAGTGAATTGATTTTTATCACTCATATCAGTGTAATTGCCAGGAAGGGAACTCAGATATGTGAGTCCCAACCTGCGCTCTCCTATGTTACTCTGTTTCTTGGGGTATTCTTTCAAGTGCTTTTTATTACACCCTTGGAAATGCTGAACTAGTTAGAACTACTATGTTTTCAGCCTTCACTGGTGTATAAAGGGGGTGTGTGTGTCACATGAATACCAACAGAAACTGGGTCTAAGTAGGTCGGAGTTCTGTATGGACCAATGTGCTGGTTTTAGTCAGGAAAGAGTTAACTCTCTTCACAGTGGCTCATACGAAGCTCTCTTCCTGGATTTACCCTGAGAAAAGGGCTGATAAGGTGTCTTCAGCTGGTGCTGGGGAGTGCCTGCACCAACTCAAGGTCTTCCTCAGCTCCTGATACTGCAGCTCGTTCCCAACCCCCTGGCGCGTGGTGGGGCACACACACCACCGCCAGCCGACCCACACTGACCCAACGGGGATTCCATGCCACAGCACGGCATGCTCGGGGCGTAAGCGGGGAGTGGGTCTTACACTTTCATTTTCTTATGCTCTCTAACACTCTCTCTAACTCCTTTGCTGGCTTGTTCAGGAGGGAGTGGGTGGGTCTGTTGGTTTTCCCGGTCGTGCTGTCACTGGTAGGGTTTGCTCGGGCTCTCTGTCTGACTCTCACTACTCAGGACCTGGTTGTACATCAGTCAGCGGGTGGTGAGTAATTGTATCATAGTGTATCATATGTTTTATTTTCTATTATTTTAATTACTTAGTAGCATTTGTATATATTCATTTAGATTCAATTAGTAAATAGTTCTGGTCTCAATTTTAAAAGCTCCCTTGTCTTTTTCTGCTGATTCTCCCCCTCCACTGGAGGAAGGCGGGGGGAGGTGTGAGAGTGGCTTTGTGATATTTTTGCTAGCCGAGGTTAAACGACAACAGTCTAGCTGGTGTTAAACCCCACTGCTGCTGAGCTCCTGAGAAGCTTTGTGAGCTGTGCCAGAGAGTAGCATGTTCTTAGGCATCGTAATAAATTTGGCTTCCAAGTTTGATGGTGTGGAACTTCTTGGAAGGTGGCAGGTATCTGTTTTCAGTGTGGTAGCAATAGGTTTGCAGCTTGGTCTGAAACACATTTCACTGCTGGGAGTAGAAGAACAGGATCCAGCTCAAGTGCCCATCTCAAGGGAGCTGGGACATACAAGAATTAGGAAAATACACCTGTTTGCAGAGACCTGATACGTAACTGTTGAGGGAGAATAAGCGTGGCACCCCACAATGGTTTTATGGTTTGTGTTTTAGTTGTTTCTGTCAGTTCATGCAGAAAGATCCAATTCCAGCTCTCTTGCCTTGACTACATCCCTGTGCCGTAGTATGCAGGTCACCACAGTATTTGTCATATAGCCTTATGTGGGATTTGAGCAAGTTAAAACAGCAGATGTGATCATCTGAGGAAAAGACCAGCTGCATGAGCATGTATTAATACCCATCTGTTGCTGTGCTTTGGTGGAGACATGGCTGTCCACTGCTGCATTCCTTGTTGGTGTTGGAAACAGCCACAGGCAGGGGATGGCATCTTCTGAAATCCATTCCAGCTGCGTAACGTCCAGGCTGTGTGAGGCACAGCTATCGCCTAGGAAACGAGGTAGCGCAGTGCCAGCAGTTTCGGGAAGCAGCTGAAAGAGTCACTGTGGGGAGATGTACATGTTTATATAAAGAAACCATCTGTGATGCTGGTTGTTAACCTGGTTTGGTTGTAGATGTGACAGAATCAAGCTAGGTTTGCACGCGCAGATGGTGCATTTTTTGTTAAAAATTCCTTTTTTTTCCTATGTGTATTTTTTTAGCCTGTCTGATTTCAAAATAGAAAGCAAGCATGATTATGTAGTGTTATGTTAGCAAAGACAGGAAGTATCTTTTTTTTTCCTAAAACAAAAAAAGCAATCCTGAATTCATAGATTAGTAATTGAGAGGTGCCATCTAGTGGCAATTAGATTATTTCCTCAATTCAGCCCATCAAGTCTGCCTATGTATATGAATAACACATATTTTCCATGAAAAGTAGGGTTAACTTTGTTTTCTCCTCTTAGTCTGTTAAATTCCTGGCTTTTGTGAATTTGTATCCAGTTACAAATACCAGCCCAGCTACAGACTAGACTAGAATGCATATGCATTCCCTGCTGAAGCTGGGGTTTTTGGTGATTATAACAGGAGCTATGACTGCACAAATATTTACTGCAGCTGCACATCACATTTAATTAGAGTGAGAAAATACACAGTCAGGCAGAGGAGGGCAGTTTCACCCTGGTGCCAACTGAAGGACAAGTGAATTCTGTGCGCTAAGCAGCAGCCACTTTACAAAGACTGATTGCCCACAGCTGAATTGGTAAGCCCGTAAAGAGGAATTGCTTGTTTCTTGGAGGATTGCGTTCCCTTGCTCGGCTTTGTTACCTTCAAGGCTGCACCTGCCGCAGCAGCCTTTGGAGTGGTGCTCGCCTCTCGCGTGCGGCTGCCCGTGCGTAACTGCTGCTCACGGGCAGGCTGCGGGACCAGGGGGTATTGGGCTGTGAACATTCTCTCTCGCTAGTGACTGGCACAGCGCAGACTCCCTAAAGGTCCCGTTCCCAACAGCATTGCCCAGGATCCCCGGGCTTGGTCCTGCAACAGAGGCCCTGAACGAAGGGTAGGGATGAGGGAGCTGGGGCGGTGCGCCCTGGTGACACACCACGGTGCCCGTGGTACTGCTGAATTAGTTGTTTAGTTCTCGTTAACTGGGGGCTTTACAGGGTTTGGGTGAGATCCTTCTGCTGTGGAGAGGGTTCCCTGTCTTGACTCCCTGACTCCACAGTTCAGTGAGAACTGTGAAAGCAGGACAGTCCCGAGATCCCGGTCCGTGACTGACGTCGCGTTTACAGCAGGCAGCGGGAGCCTGGCCAGCAGCGGTAACCTGCCCCCGGGATCCGGCAGAGAGCGGCTCTGAACCTCCGAGCTGAGGTTCTGACAGTGAGTACGTGTCCCGAAGGAGGGTAGTACGTGCCAAGTGTGGAGGTCTCGTGGCTCCTGGCTCTGCCTGTTTGCACTGAGCACATCAGCTCTTACTCCAGGATGAGAAGTAGCACGGATTAGCATGACGGGGGCAGTTTTTCCAAGGACAGCCTCTCTCCTCCCAGGGCTGCACACCCGCACCTACGGAGGGCTGTGCCGGGGAAGAACATTCCCAAATGAGACATCCGGGTCTCAAGGAGGGCTCCTGGGGGCTGCAGGC